AGTAATCATCTTAAAGATATTTTTTTATAAATTCTGTTCTTGGTGCAAACACGGCTCGTAAGTTTCTTCCATAATGCCGTTCTTATGAACGTTAAGTAACTACAGATGGAAAGTTTTGATCCCTCAAAGCATGCAACTTTTTGAGAATGGTTTAGTGTTGGGTACTGCTTCAGTATGTCAGTTGTTATGGCATTGGGCTCGTCGACCGAAGAGTGGGAGTTCAGACTGCGGTCGACTCATTTGCTTTTTACCTTTCTGATGTGCGTAAATGAGTATCCATTTGTGCCAAGGGAACTGCGAACTTTATGAATTACATGCTATGATCATTAGATTACCGTGGACATTGGCTTTGAAACAAGGCTCTCAAAGTAATTACTTTAAAAGGGAGGTTAGCGCCTCACGGTAAGCGTAAGCGCATTAAAAGAAAAACCAAAGCTGTGACTGTTGCAATGTCGTTTGTTAAGATTCATGATTGAGCCATTCTGGCGCTCAGTTTTCAGGAAGTTGATGGTGCGATGCTGATCTTTGTTTCTTGACCATCAGCTGCAAGTGCCTTATTGTTTATGGACAAGGTCTACAGCCATGTGGCAAGCATAGCATGTAGTCTGCGGTTTTCTTCCCACAGGGTGACAATCATTTATTAACCTCGGAAAGATAAAACGCATGTGACACTGACCAAGGTTTAAAATCAGGTCTTAGTGTTTCTAAGTTCGCCTTTCTGCTGACTGATCAACCCCGATATTAAGTACTATGTGGCAGATTCCTTACTCAAGGGAATCCGTTTATTAGACAGAGGTTACCCTTGAGCAGAATTGAACCAAACACCCGTAGTTCGAAGCAGATCTATGAAGCTCTCTTCTACTACCACACCATTAAAAGAGGACAAGACAGTTATCCCAGATGGTGAACATCACAGAAGTGTAAGAGATAAGATCAACGGTTAGAAACTTTACCGTCTATTTTAATGAACGATGTGCCATCGAAATATTGTTCCCAGGAAATTGAAGCGCTGAACTTAAACTACTACTTATGTTTGTTAAATTTAATGTCGTCATTTTATTGCGGATTCAGAAAAAGCGTGATCACTGTTGAATCCGCATCTACTTTCGTATTGATGTTGCGTAGCAAACTGCAGCTACCTATGGAATTGGTCAGACTCGGTGTGGTTCTTTTCGATTCGATCGTTGACATTCATTCATATTTAGGTCGAGCTTGTTTTGAGAAACTGTTAATACCTCAGTATTTGCTGATGTCTTATCTTTGACATGGCATTTGTCACAATGCGAATACTAGAGGTGCCACAGTCCAGCTGCTAGTCTCATAATTAAACCCTGACTTTTAAGGCATGAAGTATTTGTCGTCCATAGATTCTGAGTCATACAGCTGCTAGAGTTTAAAGGTATGACAGACAGTGTGACCGATTTTTGCTCGTCCTTGTCTTGGTGATCTGATGTCCTTTTCTTGGTGATCTTCGGTGTGCCTGATTTATTTCGATGTCTTTTTCTATCGTATCCGTGTTCCGTTCTTTCACACATTCAGAAAAAGTACGTGTGTTATATGCATGTAGATTGATTATGTTTCCCTTCTTTATTTTGAACCCTCGCATGCATTCGGTTTATGGAACTTGCTCTTGAGGTCTGCTTAGATCTGTGATATGTTATTTTTTGTGCTGCTTCTGACATCTGTTCATGATTAAGAAATGCATAAGGTATAGAGAGGGCAGCAAAGTTGAGTAATTTATTGGTTTGTGATGTATGTATTACCGTCCATACCTGTGAGGATCAGCCCATACTGCTGTGGTCTGAAACTGATTTGTGATTCAGGCAAAAGAGATAATACCGCGGTTTTACTGAACTTTACTTACCCCTCAGTATTGTTGTTTCCATGTTTATTTTTATACCCTTAGCTTTTATATAAAGTGACGCTAGGCAGTGCTGCGATCACACACTGTCAGTCTGGAGTGAGAAACAGATTGGGTATCGTCCGTACTGGTACGAACGGTTTGCCATAGTGGACTGGAGCATATATGCAATAACATGAGAATGATCGAAGTCATTCTTTTCTTAAAGAATTATGAGATTTTCACAGTAGCATTATATCGTTTAGAATTAATGGGATCCTTCTGGATTCTGGCGTAAGAGACTGTAATTGATTTTAATGCTTTTCAGTGGGTTAGCAGGGCTACGCTACAAGTGCAGTACCTACATTATTTTATTTATTCGAAGAAACAAAATTTTTTGCACTTTATACCCTGTAATCTACAGTAAGCAACGGCTGACACATCTGACATTGTTTCTGCAGCTGTTATTTAAAATTCCTTGAAGGTAGATTCAGTTTGATTCGAAATTATAGGATTTTGATGATGAAATCTACAAGTGCGGTGTACTCCGTCCTGTTCTTTCAGTTCCCTATGAGTAACTCGGTGATTACGTTACATATTTTTCTACTAGGTACTGCTTTTTCTTAACGAACAACGGTAGAATTTACCGTATATTTAGTTCTATAAAAATTTTTTCCTTCTGTTGCTTTGTAGATCATCCTCAGCAAAATATTCCAGTTTCTAAGCTGTGCTCAATACCGCGACTGTCTAACCATCGGCAGGGTCCGAAGGATGTTGTGTAATAGGCGAGCTTGCCAGGATCGTCCAGGGCTTCTGCGGCTGGTAGTAAAGGCGGCAG